TGTAACTGTTTGGGGTACTGGACATATTGTAATGATCAAAATTTGAAACACTTTCTTTCTCAGAGCTAAAAAAAAGCAAGTCAAAAAAAAAAAAAAAAAAAGCAAGTCATGTAGCATTACCAATGTCTTGGCAAATCAGATGCCCAAAACACAAGAGAGTCACAGAACTAAAAACGAAACTTGCCAGTGACCAAACTTCTGGGGTATAAATAAAGGTTCCTTAGGGTCAGGGACTTTAGTGCATACACTGGATGGCACTGTTAAATTAAGAAATGTAATTTATGATTTAATATTCTCATTACCAGAGAGTCTACGCTAGGTGGCGTTCAGGGTCAGGATAGAAGCAGTAACCAGCAATGGAAAGTCAATATTGTTTCAGTGTCTGTGCTAGAAGCAGCTTCCTGGTGGGTCCTGAGAAACAGTATTAAATGAGAAAGGGGTGAGGTTGCTTTAAGTGATGATTACAATGCTCTTCCCTGGAAGGGCCGCAGAGGTGAAGAGATAAAGAAAAGGTTCATGTGATGGCTACAGAGCAGACTGCAAGTTGGAAAGATAAAGGCTGACCAATTCTAAAAGTGTAAAATCGTGATATTAAGGGGAACACAGCCTTACTGTCTAGATCAAGGAGTGGTAGTCCATACCAAGAAAGTTTAGGATAAAGGATTGCTGTGCAGTGATAGAGTACATAAATGGAACCCTACCTTTCATAGTTGGGAGATTTTGAAATAAATTTAACAGATTTAACTAAGTTTAATTGTTGATACAGCCATAAGAAACATCATCTCTCATGTCTATCTTGTATATGGTGTGAGATGAGCCACTGCCTAACCCAATAATGAAAATATTGATAGGCAGTATTACCAGCAGAAAAACAATTTATCCTATAGTAAAGAGCATGTGGGCAATGTTCAAAATTATTTTAAATGTAAAATAAAGCTGGAAATCTATAAAACTCTGATACTTACAAATGAAAACAACTTTTGAAATAGCACTTGAAGCAGGTCTTGACATAAATTGACTTCTGCTCATCTGTAAGTGACAGGTTGGAAGAACTAGAAAGAAATAGACTATCCTCAGAGACACAGGTACTACTGCAAGTGAAGAACATCCAGTTTACACAATGCCTAGCTGACAACATTCTCAGCTTGGCACTCTTCAGTGCCATGCTTGAGGTCGCACTTTTTTTTTTTTTTTTTTTTTCTTGCGGTATGGGGGCCTCTCACTGTTGTGGCCTCTCCCGTTGCGGAGCACAGGCTCCGGACGCGCAGGCTCCGGACGCGCAGGCTCAGCGGCCGTGACTCACGGGACCAGCCGCTCCGCGGCATGTGGGATCTTCCCGGACCGGGCACGAACCCTTGTCCCCTGCATCGGCAGGCGGACTCTCAACCACTGCGCCACCAGGGAAGCCCCGCACTGCCTTTTTTGTTGTTCAGAGACCTTGGGGTAACACCATATCAATACCCTTAATTTATAATCCGAATGATATTCACCCATTTACTGATTAAAATTTTATTTCTAGTCTTTCCCCTTGGGCATGATTCCTGGTAACTTCAGCTCATATATGCAATTTTTTTGTTTATGAAATACTTCTTAGGTCCATAAAAAATACTTTTCTCAGAAAACGCAGATGTGCAGTTAACAATCATCTTGTGCAAATCTCAGTGTTGTGTATTTTATTTAATCCTTTAAAATCATGAGTTATGAAGGGATTGGGATGGATTGGCATTATTCTTAGTTTGGATCATGACGGTAAATTGAATGAAAGTAAAACCACGCTTTTACATTAATAACTTTGCATGAAGCCTCAATGCATTGTGTTAACAGTCATATATGAAAAATTTCAAATATACAAACTAAATATCAAAATCAATAAAACTGTACTGTTTTAACACCTTTATAAAATAATTACTAAGTCCCAGAACTTTAGATTAAAATCTTGGCTTTAGATAAAAACGTGGTTCCAGATTTTTAGATTTCATGGAGCAGTTAAAAAAAAAAAAGTGGGGGCCAATATAGGGCTGCCAACTTTTTATTTTGCCAAGAATATTGAAAGTAACTAATACTACTATCAACGCCATTTCATAAAAGGATACCTCAATACCACAAAAGTTGGTATAATCATGTAATAAAAATTAAATTCAAGTTGATGACCTTCTGTCAACCTTTTTTTTTTTTTTTTCCCTTTAGGGATGCTGAAATTTTAGTCTTGGCTTAGAATTGGGGAACAATGCCTAAAATGCCATTTTGTCCAACCATTTCAATTAAAAGGCTAAGAGGTGAGTGTGTTTGCCTGACATCAGTTAGTGTTAAAATCAGGGAGGAAAAGCAGAGCTTCTGACAACTAGTAGAATAAAACACTGTCACAGATACCCAAGTATTGAACATGTGGCTAATTAGGAATCTTAACCAATGTTTATCTTAAAACAAAATCATTCATAACTAATACAAAATCAAATAAACCCACCTACTCTGTAGAAAGACTTGGTATACATGATTGCACCTGTTACAATTTGTCAAGGAAAACAACCCCAAGTCATAAACTATAATATAACCCATTTCATAAATGATATAATCCAAACTGTGAGCTTTGAATTCTCCAAAATGTTGTGTTCTCAATTACATCGTCTATAATAAATGCTTAATAAATGTCTGCATGAACAGGAGTATGTCACTCTAAACTTGTCACTGCAAAACATTCTTCATGACATTAGAAACTTCTCAACCTGGCACAAAATCTTACTGAAGAAATCACTGAAACATAAATGATACAGAGAAAAAAAAGATGGTGATGGTGTTGGGGAGCCCCACTTGCCTGATCTCTCTATCAAATGAAAAAGCAATTAGAAGATTTAGGGTATTTAAGGGAGAACAGTAATTGTACACAATGATTTTTGTGTAAAAACAGCTCACATTAACTTAACCACACCTACTTTACTTTTTAGGTTAACTAATAACATGAAAAGGTTTTCATATCCTAAAGGAATTCTAGTTCAAAAGCATGTAATAGAAATTTAACATGACCATGGGACTACATTTATCTAATTATTCTGGACTATCAAAATGCTACACTAGATCTGCATTTCACAATAAGGTGACCATTTCCAATTTTACCATAATCATAGTCACCCACTTACACCATTGAAAGTACTTTTGAGAATTGTCACTAGTTTGTTTTCTTCTCCCACTAGCTATAAAAATGCATGACTCATAATAATTTCAAATTCAAAATTAAGAATACAGCTTAGTGTGTTCAAAGGATGTCCCCCCTCCCTTTTTTTTTTTTTGGCTGCACCACGTGGCTCATGGGATCCTAGTTCCCCCACCAGGGAGCGAACCTGGGACCCTGGCATTGAGTGTGGAGTCCCAACCACTGGATAACTGGGCAATTCCCTCAAAGGATGTCCTTTTATCTGTAACTTTGGGAGTTCATAGATGTATTTTTCTTTAAAACAATTAACCTTTAAAAGCATGATGCTCTCTATTGCTGACCCAATCATACTTATTTGAAAAAGGAGGAAGAGGCATGAAAAAATTCATCCTGAGAATCTTATAGGTAGAATCAGGGTTTGTAGTACTTGAGATTTTGTGCTTAGGATGTGCCTTAAAGACAAGTTCAACTAAGTCATGTGGACTACTTAAAAACTGGTACACACAATTTTGGGATCAACTTTATCGACTATAATACACAAAACCATACATTAAAAAAATATCAATGATCATACTTAATATAGGAACACTGATGTTTTAGTTGCACTGATTCCTGTTACTTCCAAAGTAATTCTGGATCCTACCAAGTAGAAACATGATGCACTACTACTGAGAATTCAAGTGCCTGCAAAGAAATGATGAGAATGTTTACCTGTTACCTTTGTCAATTTCAAATTACGTCTGCTACATTACGTATATATTTTTCCTTCTAACCCATGAAATCCAAAAACCGAATTTCTCTTAAAAAATATATTAACTACTCCTGGGCTTCCCTGGTGGCGCAGTGGTTGAGGGTCCGCCTGCCGATGCGGGGGACACGGGTTCATGCCCCGGTCCGGGGGGATCCCCCATGCTGCGGAGCGGCTGGGCCCGTGGGCCATGGCCACTGGGCCTGCGCGTCCAGAGCCTGTGCTCTGCGGCAGGAGAGGCCACAGCGGTGAGGGGCCCGCGTACCGCAAAAAAAAAAAAAAAAAAAAATATATATATATATATATAAACTACTCCTGTCTTAACTCTTTTATTGCTCCTAATTATTTTCAGTTTTCATATTTTTTTCTGAATCAGCAATGAAATGCAATGTTTCTGGTCTGAAGAAAGTTTCTTTGAAGAATATGACATAAAAACTTGTCTTCAAATTTTTGCTTTTAAGATTATACAGTTTAAAAGAGGATGTAATTCTTACTTTTCTCCCCCAAACAGTTTCTTTACTAGAATTAATGATGTGCCTGATTATCAAGAATGAGGAAATAAAAATCTTCCCATGCCTCTGATCTACCCTCATGACTACTATTTGTGTCAAGGATGTGTGGCTCTGCATACAGGAGACTTGATATTATGTGTTCCAATTCCTTCTGTGTCCCCAATTCAAGTGTTTGCCACTCCTTGGCTAGAATTCTGGAACATTATTACATTTTAAGACATCCTTCATGACAACTTTAAATCTCATATCATTTTGATCTAAATTTCCACTACTGGTTTTTTTAATGGATCAATTAAATATCCATGAAGATGAATACAAAGAAGTTACTGTCCCTTTATTATTGACCTGGCCCACTTATAATTAAGCAGAATTAACATTCAAAGTTCATTTTGATTGAAAACACAGAAGCTGTATTTTCTCAGTGTCATTACCACGTTCAAGAAGAAAACCAAGGTCATAAAAGATTTTTCCTAGATTGTTATTAAGAGATTAACGTAGTTTAATCACACCCAATTTACTTTCTAGGTTAACTAAGTAATATTAAATGGTGATAATTTTTCTTTGAAATTTACAAGTACAATCTGCACAGACATGATTTTGAGAATAATTTAATACGTTAACTTCGCCATACAACTATATTGTAATGTCATATTTAAATGTAAAGAAACGGATCCTTACAAGACCAAAGTAACCCACAGTCCATGAGACTGGATTTTCCTTTTTTTTTGTTTCAACAAATGTGCACCACGATGGTTCAACAAGTAAGGCAAATGCCGTGAATATGAAAGCTGTAGTTTGCAATATACCACATCTAGAACCCAGGGGAGGTGAATTAGACACAAGTGGTACTCATTCTAATTAAATGATCAGGAAACATCATGACAAGTTGGTCTGCAGCATCAGAAGTGTCCATTTAAGTGTCTTTTTTCTTAATGATCAGAGGTCCCACGTTGTCTCCAGTTTCTTCATTGTGTTTTGTGTGAGAGCCATCACAGAGTGGGAACTAGGAAGAGAAAGAATGTGAAATGTCTAATTGCAAAATCAGTATTACGTTTGGCAGAGTGGGGGTGATGCTTAATTCACATATGACATGATAACTCAATAGATTTTTCTTGGCTACCTTTTACAGGTTTTCTTAATGAGCATATGTAAAGTGTACACACTAAGGAGGAGGAAGAAATTGACTTGTGGATAATACACAGATCATTAATTGAATTTCCATTTGTGACGTTTGATTGTGGATGTGGAAAACCTTTTCCATGTTTATGTACTAGTTATATTTCCTTTCTAGTGAACTACATCCATGGCCTATCTATTGGTAAGAGCCTAAGTTCATTTGCTTAAAATCAATCTGTTCATTATCCTTTTGCTGATCATCTTTGCAGCAATTTTTTACCCAACCCTTTTTATTTTGCTTATTTGTTCATATCCTTAATTTCTCTTCTTTCATACAAATAAGTATTTCCCTTTTTATCATCCTTCATGGAGACTTCTTTCTCCTGGAGATGCGATAAATTTCCATTCCTTTCCAAGATTTCACATTTTAGAAAACACAGATATTTTGGTGTCCAGTTGAAGGAAAAGGGACAAAAACTAAATATTTAACACAGTGTTTCCCAGAGTGAGCTCTGCAAATTAACAAGTCCTGCAAAATATTCTGATTTAACTTCATTCTGTGTTTAAAAAACATATACAGTTAAGTCACAACATATATTATTATTTTAAAGAGGTTCTGCTATAAAAAACACTATTTTAACCCCAAATTTCCCAAGCTGATCGGACTATGGACACTTTCACTTTGATACCCATTATCACGGTGTTCTACAGAGCGCAATTTGCAAAATTCTGTTCTAAGATCCTGTTGCTTCAATATTATTAGAGGTGATTGCTTCCCAAATTGTTATACCTTTATTCATAAATTTATCAAAATGAATTCTACATATAAAAATGCTTATTTACAGGTTCTCCATTATCATATTCATCATTCATATTATCATATTCATAATGGGATAATCACTGTGTTTAAAATTGGCTTCAATATTTGGTAGGGCTGGTTTTCCTTCACATTACTCTTCTTTGTTAAAACTTTCCTATTTATTCTTTACCTAACTTTATTTATTACCTATTTATTCCTCCAGATAAACTTGAGAATTTTTTGGCCACGTCCTATTTTATTCCTCTTGTGTTTTTCATCCTCAGGTCTCATGCATTTTCTAATAAGATCATTTCTGCCTTATATGTTTTATGGTTATTATAATTAGGTATATGTTTTCATACCTGACTACTCTTGATATATATTATATATATAAATATATGTGTGTGTCTGTGTGTGTGTATATACCACTGTTTTTTGCAAGTATGTCCTTCCTACTGTTAAATGATAAAAAATAAGAATGCAACAATGTTTTAGGTGTCTCCTCAGGATTTTACAATTATCAGTATATTATTTTGTTTTTTCCTTCTATATTATACCTTTCATTTTTTATTTCATGTCAAATGATGATAGCGAGCATCTTTGTTTTATTCTTGATATCTGGAATGTACCTGCACTTTAGAATCTAGCTTCACTGTTTAGTATAAGGTACACTGTGGCACGAACTGAGCCTATTTAGAAGAGTAAAGTAACAGGAGTCCTGGCCTGAAGAGCAAAATCACCCATTACTCCATTAAGGAAGTATAATTTTCAATACCTGAAACTAGACAATGATGGTACATAATATTAAACTTTGATGAGACTTGTCTATTCTAAGATTAAAATAATATTGGGTTGATGTTAAAGAAATTCAATTTTAATTTTACGATCTGCATATAATTCTGGGAGGTGGTAAATTAGTTAAAAACTACAGAAAAACTCAAGGTATCGTCACATCTTATATTTCCAAGTATAAATTCTATCTTGGGGTGCCAATATAAATTCAATGTATATAAAAGTTACATTATTTCTGTCAATAAAATATGGTACAGTATATTCATATTAAAAACAAGTCTGTGCAACAAAAACATGACCCCAAGCTTTCAGTGTTTTCTTGGCATGGATGAGGAAACAGCCCATAAAATATCAAACTGAAATGTATCCCACAGCAAAGAACAGCATTTCAAAGTGACGTATGTTTAATAAACAAACACAGATGATTTTACAGTGAGAATAAAAGTTTACATTGTAAAAAAACTCCATTTTTATAAATAGCACACACAAAACACGTCACTGTATGGTTTTATGCCCACAGGTTATAAAATACATTTCTGAAAAATGAAATATTCATAAAGTTAAAAGTCTCAAATAATTTACTAAAATAGCATATTTAACTTTTATTTTTTTTCAAGATTTTTTTTCATATGCACCATTTTTAAAGTCTTCATTGAATTTTTTACCATATTGCTTCTGTTTTGGGGTTTTTTTTTGGTTTTTTGGCCGCAAGGCACGTGGGATCTTAGCTTGCTGGCCAGGGATCGAACCCGCACCCCCTGCATTGGAAGGCTTAACCACTGGACCACCAGGGAAGTCCCTTTTATTTTTATTTTAGTCTCACATTGAAAATACTAGAAAACTAATATATTTTCTCAAATTATTTTTCTCCATATATAAAGAACAGGAGAGAAATCTATAGAGAAATATACAAAAGATAAGAAAGCCATACATCTAAAATGAGGATATAATTTTGTAATAATCTGGTTCTGCCTAAAAATGGAAATTCACATGTTTCATCATGGTCTTAAAAGTAAACAAGTAAAAAATAAATACTTCTTTAGGGCTTCCCTGGGGGCGCAGTGGTTAAGAATCCGCCTGCCATTACAGGGGACACGGGTTTGAGCCCTGGTCTGGGAAGATCCCACATGCCGCAGTGCAACTAAGCCTGTGCACCACAACTACTGAGCCTGTGCTCTAGAGCCCGCGAGCCACAGCTACTGAGCCCACGTGCCACAACTACTGAAGCCTGTGCGCCTAGAACCCGTGCTCCGCAACTAGAGAAGCCACCACAAAGAGAAGCCAGTGCACCACAATGAAGAGTGGCTCCCGCTTGCCGCAACTAGAGAGAGCCCACGCGCAGCAACTAAGACCCAATGCAGCCAAAAACAAATAAATAAAATAAATAAATTTTAAAAAAGGATTAAAAGAAAAAAACAATCTAAAAATATTTCTTTAAAAAGTAGTGAGTGGGGGGAGGGATACATTGGGATATTGGGATTGACATATACACACTACTGTATATAAAATAGATAACTAGTAAGGACCTACTAGAATAGCACAGGGAACTCTACTCAGTACTCTGTAATGACCTATATGGGAAAAGACTCTAAAAAAGAGTGGGTATATGTATAACTGATTCACTTGCTATACACCTGAAACTAACACAACATTGTAAATCAACTATACTCCAATAAAAGTTAAAAAAAAAAGTAGTAAATAAGGAGATCCTGGCTATTTGTTAATAAACTTTCATGCTTCTTTAAAGTACATAAAGCTTTGTATGCCTTTAAAATGTAAACTCCGTATTCAAAATCATTCTGCTCAGAGGCACAGATATCTTTTAATAGTACTTCCTATATCACTTAACACTAGTCAGAATAATCTCCCAAACTTCATGTGAAGATTAGGCATTCTCATATTTATCCATTAGATATGTCTCATTTTAAGTTAATGAAAAGACTAAACATTTTTTTCAACCAAGAGCCAAAATGAGTTATTTCAAGATAGGATTAGCAATTTCTTAATACATTGTATGTGTTAGTAGAATGTATTTATTAAAATTAATTCATGATTCTGATATACAGTATAAATGAATGAATGGTAATTACTGGGCATTAAAATTCAAATGGTAAATTACATAACAATATTTGTGTTTTTCCAGAAAGTGCCTTGTTTCATTTTTGACCTTTCTATACAGGAGAAAAAAAACATGTGGTGGATATATACTTTCAAACGTAATCTAGGAAGTATAGCAGTTTTTGTATTAAATAACAATATAATGAAAATGTGAATTTTATTAACTCACTAAAAGTTTTAAATGTGTTAAAAATGTCAAGAGCTGAAATTACAAAAAACACAAAGGGTATATTTAATTCAGCTCATGTATCAATACTTAAAAATAAAAGAATCAGAAAATTGATGAGAAAAAAGTTTAGCTCACAGATGATTCTAACATTTGTTCTAAGATGTTAACCTTTGTCTATTAACAAATCCTGGAGAAAAGTTTGTGAATTAAATTGGTTGAATTTCCTGTATGTCCAGAAAATATACTATCATATTTGTTAATCCAATTAGAAAACTATGAATCCCAAATACCTTTAAAACTAGAGAAGAGAGAGTATGGAGAAGAGGTGGAAATAAATGTTTAGGGGTAAAAAACACTAGAGATCCTTGCTCTCTACTTGGAAAGCTAGCAACCTTGTCAGGGTCTTCATAAAAAGCACAAAACTTGTTTCTTTTTAATGGTCCCACATCTCAAGTTATAATGTTTCTGTTTTTAGGGTGATTCAAGATGGAAATAAATAACTGTTCATCCTTGACTTACCTCTTCTACTTGCAAAAATTAAAAAAAATTTTTTTGAAGCTTCCTTTGCCAAACTTTGTATTTTTAATTAGAGTTTGGATTATATTTTCCAAGGAAGTTGCCTGGGGCCATTTGGCTCATTACTATAAACTGCTCTGAGAAACAAGCTTGCTTTGGTTGAGAAAGAAAATAAAAGCAATGAGATCTTTGAGACTAAACAAGAGAATATGACATTTTATACCATCCTTATATGCTTACTTTAGTAAGACCTATGATAGTAGATATAGTAGGAAAATATGTAAGAAAAATTAAGATTTTACAAGACTGTCTTTTTTTTTTTTATTTAAATTTTATTTTTTTGGCTGCGTTGGGTCTTCGCTGTTGCGCGTGGGCTTTCTCTAGTCACAGCGAGCCCGTGCTGCTCTTCATTGTGGTGCGCGGGCTTCTCATTGCAGTGGCTTCTCTTGTTGTGGAGCACGGGCTCTAGGCACACGGGCTTCAGTAGTTGTGGCACATGGGCTCAGTAGTTGTGGCTCGCGGGCTCTGGAGCGCAGACTCAGTAGTTGTGGTGCACGGGCTCAGTGGCTCCGCTGCATGTGGGATCTTCCCGGCCCAGGGCTCGAACCCGTGTCCCCTGCATTGGCAGGCGGATTCTTAACCACTGTACCACCAAGGAAGCCCTACAAGACTGTCTTTGTGTGAATTGGGCAAGCAATGTAACCAACGATCAGAATATTGTTTCTATGAAGAAATGGAGTCAGTGCCACTCTTTTTTTTTTGGCCCCGCTGCGCCGCTTATGGGATCTTAGTTCCCCAACCAGGGATCGAACCCACGCCCCCTGCATTGGAAGCGTGAAGTCTTAACCACTGGACAGCCAGGGAAGTCCCATTTCTAACCATTAATAGGGTGGAGACTTTCCATAACTCATACACACACACCCACACTCCCACACACACCCACCAAAAACAAACCCATCACTAATAAAAAAACCCAACTCAAATCCGGAAGTTGTTAAGGAAAGAAAATTATTCTACACAGTTACATTTCATTGCAATTTCAGTTGAGCTCCTGGCATGAACTGGCTCACCTTTCCTCTCTTTCTTGATTATCTCTTAGTCTGCCTTCTCCTGCTGTCCTTGTTCAAATCTCTCCTGCCTCCCCAATGGCCACCATACAACTCAGCAAACGCCATAATCTACCCAAGATGAGTGGGGGCTGGGAATCTAGTAAGACCATGTTGCACACTCTTCCCTCTGACATCAATGTTCCCTCACCTTGTTTCGAAAGTAAGACTATCTCTTTCTTTCTAAGGCTGAGTCCGAAATCTATGCTCGTACTCTCCTTTCCTTCCACCCCTCTCAACATACCACTGTCTCAAATAGTATCTTTCCCTGTAGTTGCTTTAATCATTTCCTTTGTATTGGTTCCTTTCCTTCTCACTTCACTTAGGGACAACCCTTTTATGAAATACTATGAAACAGTCCAGTTTCTGAAACAGCAGAGGGCACACCAATCGGGGGGAAGAGAGGAGGAACGAAGTGTGTTAAAAACATGTAATTTCTGCACTTGACTAAGAGATCTGATTCATTAGGTCTGAGAAAACTGCTCAAAATGTTAGAAACCCACAACAGGTTACTCGTGACTGTACCTTAAGAATGAATTAGAGGGGGGAGGGACAAAATGAAGAGTATGGGATCATCAGATACAAACGACTACACATAAAATAGATAAACAACAGGATTTACTGTATAGCACAGAGTATTATATCCAATAGCTCTTAATAACCTATATTGGAATATAATCAGCAAAAAAACCCCTCCAAAACTGAATCACTATGCTGTACACCTGAAACTTACACAGTACTGTAAATCAACAATACTTCAATTAAAAAAAATAATGAATTAAAACTGAATTAGTTTATATAATACATAAATTTTTTTTTTTAGATAGGAGTTTAAATTTTGTTGTATTAGAAACACAACTGGTGTATGAGGAAAAAATTACTGAACATAAACTCCATATAGCCATCTAATCAAAGGTATCAAGCCTTCTGTGGACAGGCATGTAAGTGTGTGACTTGGCACCTGTGTGACAACCTTAGGAACCTCAGGAATGTGCGGAGATTCCAAAGATGCCTGGAGAATAATTTGAATGATATTCAAAGTGAACTTTGAATCGCCTCATGTGGTAATAAAAAGTGCCCAAGATTCAGGGAAAATTCAGAACTGACAAATCAAAGATGCAAAGAGGATTAATAATGGTATGAAAGATAAGCTTAAAAAGAAAGAAGACATTGAGAAAATTGAAAATAAAATGACTGGTCTCGCATTCCTTTCCTTAAAGTCTACCTAAGGGAAACTCTAAATAGTATGATGAAAGAATAATCCTGGAACGTTCTGTTGACTTATAAAGTCTAATAAACTTTTAAACCACTAGCTTGGCCTGTGTCCATTTGTGATTCTTCCTGAAATACTTGAGATCTTAGTCCATAAAAGTCCACATTCGCTTTATTGACCCTTTACCCTCTGGAAACACCCAACCAAAGCAAACGCCCTTTACTTGGCTTCAAAGGTAAGCTTCAGCGTTCACTCAAGCAGTCATCATATTTTTTTCTTTCCATTCACTGTCATATTTACCAAAATTTTGCCATATATTTAGAAATACCATATATTTAGGTATTTCTTTAGTAGTAATTCATACTGTAATCCATTTGGACACAGCTTCTATTCTAATTATTCTGTGAAAATGACACCAAAAGGTCAGTTGCCTAATTGTTTAACCCCACAGTCTTAGTATAATAGTCTATTCACCTCCTGGTCTTTTGCACAAGCCGATGTTCACAATCAAACCTTCTTTGAAACTTTTCCCTTTTCCACCGTGAAGCCACGATATTCTTAGTTTTCTTCTAACTCTGGGACCCATTTCATCTCCTTTTTTGGCTCTTCTCTTTACAAAATGCAGAAAATTCTCCAAGATTTCATACTTAGCCCTCGATTTTTATCTGTACCAAGGATCTGCTGCATTCCTACCCTTGACTCATCAGCTTTGCTGATCGCTATCTCCAACCCTGATGTCTCAGCTTTAGTCCCACATTTCAGGCTGTCTGCTGTACATTTCCATTCAAATGTCACCTCAGTGTCACTCTTTGAAATTGAACTCCTCATTGGTGTCCTGGAAAATGAGCCATTCACCCCGAATTCCTTATTTCCGTTGACGGCACCACCTCTTCTAACCCTACGATCCTATCTTAAGGATACTTCCACGAGCTTTAGTCTTCCTCCCACAATCTTTCGCACAAATCAGTCATTGCGTTTGGCTGATCCTTGCCTCAAAATGGTTCATGTATCTGTTCATGCTTCGCCATTCCCACGGCCAGCACTCTGGTGTAAGTATAACTTTATGTCTGAAATCCCTGACAAGAAGCTCCTCCATGTTGGGAGGCACAAATTCCTCACGCTGGTACTCAAGACTCTCCTCAATTTGGACTTATTCCTGCGGGGAGGGAGGTGCAAGGACCAGACTAGATTCCTCATCGATCCCACTTTCACTCATGAGTCCTTTCCCACAGATTCTGAGAAAGAGTCTCCAATACTTGCTAGTGTATTCCAATGCCACCAATCTTTCCAGGGGCAGTTTAACTCCCACGTATATATCACTATGCCTTCCCAGAAAATTCTAGCCCACAGTGCAACAAGCTCTTCCTTTTATTTAAAGCATTCGTACTGCATCTACTACACACATCTATGATACCTGCTGTTTTACTATTTAACTGTTCTCAAGCATGTATATAAGTAATAGAAACTAAATGAACTACTTAAGATCACTGACTAAAGAACTATTACAACTCCGGACTTAGAAATGCCTTAATTTCTAAAGGTATTACTTTTTTTTTTTTTTGCGGTACGCGGGAGAGGTTGTGGCCTTTCCCGTTGCGGAGCACAGGCTCCGGACGTGCAGGCTCAGCAGCGGCCATGGCTCACGGGCCGAGTCGCTCTGCGGCATGTGGGATCTTCCCGGACCGGGGCACGAACCCGTGTCCCCTGCATCGGCAGGCGGACTCTCAACCACTGCGCCACCAGGGAAACCCCTAAAGGTATTACTTTTTATATTTTGGTGAGCAACAAGAGAATGAAACCTACTATAGGTGTTAATTTTTAAAAATCAAACCAGATCTAGTCTACAGAATATTATTGAGGATTATTTTCTAGCAACTCCACTAGTACTTATAAACAATCCCACACTTCAAATGAACAGTGCTCTTCTTAAGGAACAATTTCTGTAATGGGACTATTAATTTTTGGTTCATATTCCATATGTTCATCAAGCAGTTTTCAGACACAATGACATAATCTAAGCGCTCTATCACCACTGGATTATACAGTATCAATTGCATCCGGAGAAGGGGGTTAGAGTAATATGCTTTCCGTTACCTGATATGTGACTTCTTCCTTATCTGTGACATGTGATTTGTGATAATGGCTTTCCACTGTGGGAAGAGGTCCCTGACATAACATGCTTTCAGAAATAGATACATCATTTTTATTGTCTATTTTCTTAGGCCTTATAGTGTCATCTTTAGTAAAATCCATTTTATTTAAATGTTAATAGTGGCAGTATACACAGTATTTCACCATATTTCTCTAAATATACCAGAAATTCTGAAGTTATTCAATGTATGAAGCTTTTCAAGATGACCTTAGGAGAGCATTTTACCATCTTCAGATCACCAGCTGTCATCGCTATCTAAAAGCTGCAGGTATCACAGAGATAATTCCAGACGGAACTTGATAAAATGCAATTCTCACAAAAGAAAATAAAGATACAAAAAAATCCTGTGTTGGATATTTAAATATAGGAGCTGCAGCTTAAAAAAACCTTAGGATACAGGGTCAATACATATGTACCAGGTAAGAAATTTTCAGGGGTAATTTTCCAAAAGTTTCTCTTGATATTTCTAAAACTTGTACTAGAATCTAGGAGCTTGAAATCTCAAGGGGAAAAAAAATGACCTCTCCTGTTTCTCTTTGTTTTTAGGCTGCATACTCCTTTTCCTGGGATACTGAATGCTAACACCCACTTGGGGAGGAAATTCTAAGCGTAAATAAAGGGATTTTTCTCTCTTCTTTGGCCAAGAATGTGGTTATATTTGCCTAACTCGACGAGGGTACGATGCAATTTCACTGCATGGTGGTTACACATTTTAGTAAATATATTCCTGAAGAGTACACAGAAAACAGAGAAAAACAGAATCCATAGAAAAAAGGAAGCAAAGGAGAAGGGATATCTTGATATTTGATGGTACCAGTGTGGCAGATAGTTTAAACGAAATGTTGCATTAAAGACGGCACTGGCATAAAGGACTTGCTTCTCTTACCTTCTTGGACCTCCAACAACGGCAGTACACAGCTTTATCTCCCAAATCCTCCATGTCAAAAGCATGTACTACCTTGGGGTTGTCTTTCTGGATGTGAGGGTTTACCATAGATTTGTTGCGATGATCTTTGACATAAAATCTTTTGTAAGCTAGATAACCAACTGCAGCTGTCCCAGCAGCAATGGTAACCGCTGCAATCCATTCAACTAGAGCAGGGAAGGAAAACAGGAATGATTATCAAAACCAAAATCTATACCAATAATCTAACACGAACGTTCAGGAAATCCAGTTTTTGAGTACTAAGCATCCCAACAGTCAAAGGTGTTTAACATTAAAAAAATGATCAGAACACACTGGTGAAGTAGTCCCTTGTTAAAACCTTCCCCAGCCCTTACTGAGGCAATTGTGTATTTTCTTTTCAGTATTGTTAGCTAAGTTAAGATAGAAGAGGGAAACTTAAAAATTATTTTATAATTGGAGAAGAAACAAAGTTTAGTAATCTTTTTAAAGTGTTCATAAATAGATTTAAAATAACCTGTGAGCCTGCAGATACCTATTGCTTTAAAAAAAAAGATACATATAAAAATTCAGATTACTAATAAGACCATAAAAAATCAGATTACAAACAAGACCCTCCTCATCCCTCTAAAAATCAGGAGGTGATTATGTTAACAAAATGACTCATCAGAGTTCTTTTTCTTTTTGGCCACACCTGAAGCATGCAGGATCTTAGTTCCCTGACGAGGGATTGAACCTGTAGCCTCCGCAGTGGAAGAGTGGGGTCTTAACCACTGGACCGCCAGGGAAGTCCCAGAGTTCATTTAAATAGTAGGTCCTTTAGTCATTTAAAAATGCATAACCACAAACAGAACTAGTATCCAAAGAAAAAGAAAGGACAAATAAAACAAAACCAACCCTTAATATTAAACATTCAGAGGAATATATCCACCAGCATTCTGGGCTTCAAGTCATTCAAAAGCTTTGTTTTTGTTTTTTAATTTCAAAGTGTCTCATTAAAATAAAACTCAGAAGGTACTAATTTTATAGAAAACATAATATAATTAGTTAGATTCTCCTTTAATAAATTCTAAATTTCCATTATCCACCAGTGGATGATCTGAATTCCCTACAAACTTCATTTTAAATTTAATGACGTTTTTCTGTGCAATTATTTGCTTGACTAATAGGCCATCTATTTATTCTGTTCAGGTAGCTTTTCAAGGATCCCTTAGAAATCCAAGCACTTAACAACTACCCCAGTTCCAGAGAATTCTGGAGAGGAGAGAGTTCTGCATAGTCTGGTTAGCCTCAGTCTCAGAGGAGAGTTGTCTATTCCCAGCATGGAGTGGACTGCAGGAAGAAGTTGAACAGGGGTCAGGATAAACACACTGGACTGCGTCCCAGCATTTCCTAAGTCAGATCTTCACAGTGTTTGAAATAAGTTCCCAGACTATCAAATAAAGCCCTAGAGAGACAAGTACAAAAAACACATTCCAAGACCAAATAAAAACATATAATGAATAATTAACTGTATGGCTTACTTGCACTACTGAGTCAAATTTCTTATTGTACTAATGTGATTAATCATTGAACCTAATAGTTCCTTACATAAAATTGGAGTTCATTCTTACAAAACTCTAATGGAAAGGAACAACCACTCTCACACTTAGTTCCTTTTATCTCGGTCTTCTCTTCTAGCTTATTTAATAATTTAGTTTTCATCAAGTGTTCCTAATTAGCATGTTCCTTGGATTCTATTTTCAACCACAGTTATTTTTCTCTATGAAAAAATTTAGTTTGTTTTCCTGCCCACACAACAGTTCTATTCCTCCCTGCTATATAAAATAAACATTAACTTTATGCCCTTCCCAGATACTGTATGACTGAGAAAAGTTAATAAGTCATTTGATAGCTTCAAACCTTTGGCTTCATTGAAATATACTTTAAACTACACACCTTGTGTAGATTTGCCCTGAATTTTTAAATTTTTATTTATTATTTTTTAAAATTTGTTTTATTACGAATGTCATCATTTTTTCTCATTGGTAAGGGATACTTTCTTTCTTTTTTTTTTTTTTGGCTGCGCTGCACAGCTTGTAGGATCTTATTCCCCCAACTAGGGATTGAACAGGAGCCCACAGCAGTGAAAGCTCCAGTCCTGGAGCTGGAGTCCTAACCACTGGACCACCAGAGAATTCCCTGCCTTGAATTTTAGTGCTGCTTCATGGTATCATTCTGTGGCAACTCCAAGCAGGGCTGAAACTTTACTGATTTCTAGCTTGATTCATGATCTTCCTTTCTGATGCATTTTTTACCATGGAAGTTCCTTGAGAAAATGTCAGGAGTTAGAGCAATCTACTTCTTAGCTAATGGAAAGCCACTCTGAATAGTTAATGTACCTATCACAAAATGGGCTAAAATACTGCTTTGCATATATATATTCAATTATGTTTGCTGAATGTTAAATCCTTAGTATAAACTTAAAAGAGGGAAATATCCCAAAAGACTGAAATAATACAATTCCCTAAATGCTGTTGATCTTAGTTACACCTTACTTTTTTTGTTGTTTTTTGCAGTACGTGGGCCTCTCCCTGTTGTGGCCTCTCCCTGTTGTGGCCTCTCCCTGTTGTGGCCTCTCCCGTTGCGGAGCACAGGCTCCGGACACACAGGCTCAGTGGCCATGGCTCACGGGCCCAGCCGCTCGGTGGCATGTGGGATCTTCCCAGACCGGGGCACGAACCCGTGTCCCCTGCATCGGCAGGCGGACTCTCAACCACTGCACCACCAGGGAAGCCCTACACCTTACTTTTGAGGTGAAGTTTGAAGTAATCTCTATCAGATTTGTTTTAATGATGCCTACATATTACATAAAGGCCTGAGATCCAAAGAACAACTACAATTGGTTAGGATTAATTGGTCTCATGATATAAAAAAAAAATCCTATAGGAATTTCTACCTGAAATTTATGATAGGCCAGAAGAATCTTTCTCAGCCATCAAAACATCCTTCTATTCTCCTTTCTCATTACTACCAACTGAATCCATATGGTGACTTTTTAAAAACCTTTACTTCCCTTCGATTTTTTTGATGGTGGAAGAAATGACAGAATAACTGACACAGAGGGAACTAACTCTAGATATTATCCAAGAGTGGCTGCCCTGTGGGGAATCAAAACATGCACTCTGTGACCCTACCCCCTAAGGAGGGTCACTGATGAACCTTTATAAATGTCATAGCACCATATGTGTGCTAGGAAATGGCTTTGCGTTTGCTCCAATGAGTTTTTTAGACTCACAGAGCCAGATAAGGTCTTAAGAAAACAATTTCCATCCCTCCCCCATTCCCAAATTCTAATTCTCTAACCTCATTAGAGACAAATGTAAAGTTCCCAGAGTAAGAAAAATGTTGCTGTTTTATCATTTCATTACTGTAGCCTGAATCAGTCTTTTCTGGCAAAAAGCTATGGATGCCACTGGCAACTCTAGGGAAAAGAAAGAAAAGGAAACTATATGGAGATAGACAAGAATGATGATGGATTCAAAAGTCAACAATTACAATAGAGAAAGAATTGAAAACCCAAGACAGTAAACAAACAATAAAACCCAAGTAACATTTAGTTCTTGATAGTGTACATGCCTATTAAGAACAGACACCATCTCAGGTTGAACAAGGGACTATATCGAGACCCAATTTCTAAAGATATTTCAGTTGGCACCTTTCAGACATTCTTTCAAAACTGGTGTCCAGAAATATCCTAAGCCTTATTTTTGCCTCTTCTACTTTATCCTTACTTCCCTTTTCTGTACACCTCTCTCAAGGTATAGTGTTCCTATAGTTAGATCAAGCCCCTACCTTGCTTAACAATGCTCTCTATCTATACAAATACCATGAATACATCAATATAAAGAAAATACAAAAAATACATTTCTAAATAATCCCTCCCTTTCTTACTCTTCCCCTGGCAATCTTTGTATAATCTTTGGTTTTCTCTCTTAGGATTATTCAGAGATAGAGAAAACATCAACTTGTTCCCAAATCCCACACCCATATTTATAACTCATTTCTTTACTGTGGGAAATCATTTTGCTTTAAGCTAAGACAGATATCTCACCCTGCTTCTTTTCCTTTAGCCCCTTTGGTAGCCCCAAACTGTCCTCTCCTACCCAGTGTCAACTGCCATGGAATCAGAATGTTCCTTCCACCTCAGGAGGGGGGGAGGGGAGCTGTGTTTAAATCTTTGCCTCCCTTAGGTCCCCCTCAGATTGGTAGGCTGTGCCTGGTAACGTTTTTCTCTCAAGGCCTGGTGCACAGGCAGTGTTCAATGTTAGTTAAGTAAAAAGAAATAATAGATTCCTAATCTGAATTTGCAACTCCCTCTGTCCATCCTACTATCACATTGCTCTTACACCAAATGACTTCTCTTTGGCCTCATCTTAACCTACTGTATCAAACTGTGGAATTTCAATACTTCCTGAGATTAAAAATAAAACTTCATTATGGAACCCTTCAGACATACACGGAAAATACTGTAATGACCTCCCATTTACCCTCACCCAGCTCCAACAAGTATCAACTCACTGCCAATCTTGTTTCATCTACAGCCCCTATTATTTTTTGTTCATAACCCATAGGAGCTAACTCCTTTATTCACAGTATGATCTGCACATTCCTTCTCAGATAAAAACAAACCCTTGAATAGTTATTTTAAATGACTCAATAAATTTATTGAACCCAAACAGTAAATGGAAGTTAAATGGATTGGAAAATTATGCGTTAGTTTCAACAAAAGAGAGGACGATATAACAGTCAGAGAATAAGAACTTATGAAATTTAGTTTTGGTTACAAGCATTGTAGTGCTCAGGGTTTGGGAAGTACAATAAAGCACAGACAGATAGACTAATGCCTATTTTGTAACTGGAGGGTAAAGCAAAATATGAAGAAAAAAGTGACTTGAGGGGACAGCAGAAAGAAGGAAGGCCTTTAAAAATATTTGGTTTAGTTGGCTTTTTTTTTTAAATGAGGGTGAATTATGAGTGACTTTGGGCTGAAGAGAAGAAAATCCCTGTGAGAGGACAGAAGAATTAAGAGCAATTGGTATCATTACTGAGGCAAGAGCTTAAGGAAGCAGGAGAAAATGGCATCTGGATGATATAGAGAGAACAGCCTCAGATAATCTCTTCCTTGCAAATAGAAGGGAAGGGATTAAGGATGAGAGCAGAGTCAATGAGTCTTGGAGGTATTAAGGAGCAAGAAGTTTAGTAAACTTCCTAGAGGTCATCTATTGGGTATGAGGAGGGGTCATTAGAGAACGGGGACTCTGTAGCAGTGAAAGGCACTTAATGTTTCTTAATGTTTATTACAGTTTCTAAAACTGTAATCAATATTTGGTATCACATAAAAAATAAGTTTGGTATAAGTATGTCAATTATACCTCAATAAGGAAAAAGGAAGTTTGGTAATATCGACCAAATGGGCATCAAAAGCCATCTCACTGACTGGGATCTTCGGATTACCATTCCAATCACTCATCCTCATTGCCTTTCCCAGATTCATGTCCTGACCTGATCTCCATTCATTTTATTTCTAACCCACCCATTATTTTTTTCCTGAACATAAACAAGAATTCTGCATGCACATACACACCCTTTCATTTTTTATTTAACATATACTTATATAGTGCTTACCATTGCCAAATACCATTATATAATATACACACAAATTATAAAAAAAATATATAATTCACTTACTTAACTGAGAAAAGTCATGGTCATCTTCCCCCAAATCAAAAGATCTAAATTGATTTTCAATCTATAGGAATGAACAGGTTTGGTTTAAACACTGAGAGTAGAACAATTTGAGATCTAAACATTACAAAACAGATATTCCGTCCCTACCTTGCCACACCACTATATCTGAGGAAGAAAGCACTGGTAGAAGTGATTTACAAAGGCTTTGGGGTCCCTGCCCATTGTCCTCACAACAGTCCTTATGCTTTTAGATGAAATAAAAAGTAGTTACTTCTTTGGCTTCCCTGGTGGCGCAGTGGTTAAGAATCCGCCTGACAATGCAGGGGACACAGGTTCGAGCCCTGGTCTGGGAAGATCCCACATGCTGTGGTGCAACTAAGACCATGTGCCACAACTACCGAGCCTGCGATCTAGAGCCCGTGAGCCACAACTACTGAGCCCGCGTGCTACAACTACTGAAGCCCGCGCACCTAAAGCCCGTGCTCTGCAACAAGAGAAGCCACTGCAATGAGAAGCCCATGCACGGCAGTGAAAGAATAGCCCCTGCTCGCTGCAACTAGAAGCAAGCCCGCATGCAGCAACAAAGACCCAACACAGCCGGAAAAAAGTAGTTCTCATAACAAAGTTGAGTACCTAAAGTTTAAGCTAATAACCCAATTGACGAAGCAATTTCCTATCCCTTAGAAAATGGCAAAATAATGGGAAAGTCACCTTTGGATTCCCATATAATTAGGTCAAAAAAATAACAAACTTGTCTTGATTACAAGAAAGATTAGCTTATAGTCTTAAGAGTCTTAGGGTTCACCTATATCACATTTCAATAGTATGCTACCTAAATAGAGTTTAGTGCCCAATTATACAAAATGACTCCACATTAAAAAAAAACCACTTTGGAATCTTTTGTCCCATATCACACAAGTGCAAATTGTCTTCCTATAAGATTATCAGTGGCTCAAGTCACATGAATATCTTATTTTACACAATTGTCTTATTCCTCGGAAAATTTTTTTTTTTACAATAAAAATCACTCCCTATTTTAAATGTACGAAGGTGCCTCTATTTAAAGGAGTCTAAAGATGAGTATCCTTTGAAATACGTTTTGCAAATATTCACCTCCTATATACCGCATTAGTAACTTAAAAATGTCATGGGTTATCACCCTCACTCTGACAGATAACTTTTCGCAACAAGTGGAATTCTCCAATTTATAGAATCTATTACAAAATTAGGGCCAAGTTAGTAGGCACCTTTT